TCTGAACTTCACAACATCTAAATAGGCCTAGTAGGTCAACATGAACTGTCTCTACACATTCCTAGGCTAACAAGAAAAATTTACAATGTAAATTATTGAAAATTTATTAATATTGCCAATTCAAAAATTGAAAAAAAAAAAAAAAAACTTGTATGACTTTTTTGAGGTGTTATGGCATATGACCAAATTTTTCCCATAAGTTGTTCACTCCACCTATTCTGGAACAATGATATGAAATAAAGAATTTGAATTTACCTTCATGAATGTCTTAATTTTTTTTTTTTTCAACAAGTCGGCCATCTCCCATTGAGGTAGGGTGACCCAAAAAAGAAAGAAAATCCCCAAAAAGAAAATAATTTCATCATCATTCAACACTTTCACCACACTCACACATTATCACTGTTTTTGCAGAGGTGCTCAGAATACAACAGTTTAGAAGCATACACATATAAAGATACACAACATATCCCTCCAAACTGCCAATATCCCAAACCCCTCCTTTAAAGTGCAGGCATTGTACTTCCCATTTCCAGGACTCAAGTCCGACTATATGAAAATAAACGGTTTCCCTGAATCCCTTCACTAAATATTACCCTGCTCACACTCCAACAGATCGTCAGGTCCCAAGTACCATTCGTCTCCATTCACTCCTATCTAACACGCTCACGCACGCTTGCTGGAAGTCCTAGCCCCTTGCCCACAAAACCTCCTTTACCCCCTCTCTCCAACCCTTTCGAGGATGACCCCTACCCCGCCTTCCTTCCCCTATAGATTTATATGCTTTCCATGTCATTCTACTTTGATCCATTCTCTCTAAATGACCAAACCACCTCAACAACCCCTCTTCTGCCCTCTGACTAATACTTTTATTAACTCCACACCTTTTCCTAATTTCCACACTCCGAATTTTCTGCATAATATTTACACCACATATTGCCCTTAACCCTTTCAGGGTCCAAACCGTAGATCTACGTCATGAGCTCAGCTCACTCTGATAAACTGTGAGTGGTAAATTTGGGCCTAGATATGAGAGAATACATCTATGTGGTATGTGTGCACCACATAAAACAAATCCTGCAGCACACTGTGTATAATGAGAGAAAAAAAACTGAGACCATGATTTTCGATTAAAACAGCGACTTTGCAGTGTTTTTTCGTGTGTTTTTTATAGTTGTATTTGTGATTTCTTGGTCTCATTTGATAGAATGGAAGACATATTACAGAAATAGAGATAATTTTGATTGGTGTTTGCACTGGAAATGGCTTGAAATTGAGCTCAAAGTGGCGGAAATGTTAAATTTTTGCTGATGTTCAAGAGTAAACAAACGACCTCACACGTCTAATACACGCCAGCTGGTGGGTCTAATATACATTCACAAATGTGGTGATGATATTTATACAATTATTACAATATTGCATAACAGTAAATCTTCTATTTTTTGGTGTGAATAAAAATTCATTGTGAATAAAAAATCAAAATGGAATTTATTTGTAAAGCCTCAAAACATAACTAATGAACAGAGGAAATGTTAGTTTAGTGCCAGGAATACCTACATTGTTTATTCTGGACCCTATTTTGAAATTGGAATATTTTGAACTTTGTGTTAAATTGGCCAAATTACCAATTTCCGGTCACTTTATTTTGTAGTTGAAACAGTTGACTTCGTGATTTCTTGTGCTCAATCGATAGAATAGAAGTAATACTAGTGAAATAGCTGAGAATTTGGTCGACTGGAATAATGTAATTGGCCTAAAATGGGAGTCAAAGTCGGCAAAATCGCCGATTCGTAAATATCGCTGACACATCAAAATTCACGAGAGCATAATTTCGTCAATTTTCCATCAAATTTCGTACTTTTTGTTTTATTGCATTCACAAAAAGATTCTCTACCATTTCATAAGAAAAAATAAAAATTTTTTTTTTTTTTGAAAATTCTTGGACACTGGGGCACCACTTCAGATTTTGGCCTTGGACCCTGAAAGGGTTAAACAGGACATCTCCACTGTCTTAATATTTTTTTTAAATTATAGTTTATCAGTTTTCTGAAGTTTGAAGTGTTAATATACCTATCTGTGTTAAGAAATTTTCTTAGATATTATATTAAACTAATTGACTTTCTTCTGCATACTTGTTCATTATACATATTGCAGATGTTTTTTTTTTTATTATCACACCGGCCGATTCCCACCAAGGCAGGGTGGCCCGAAAAAGAAAAACTTTCACCATCATTCACTCAATCACTGTCTTGCCAGAAGGGTGCTTTACACTACAGTTTTTAAACTGCAACATTAACACCCCTCCTTCAGAGTGCAGGCACTGTACTTCCCATCTCCAGGACTCAAGTCCGGCCTGCCGGTTTCCCTGAATCCCTTCATAAATGTTACTTTGCTCACACTCCAACAGCACGTCAAGTATTAAAAACCATTTGTCTCCATTCACTCCTATCAAACACGCTCACGCATGCCTGCTGGAAGTCCAAGCCCCTCGCACACAAAACCTCCTTACCCCCTCCCTCCAACCCTTCCTAGGCCGACCCCTACCCCGCCTTCCTTCCACTACAGACTGATACACTCTTGAAGTCATTCTGTTTCGCTCCATTCTCTCTACATGTCCGAACCACCTCAACAACCCTTCCTCAGCCCTCTGGACAACAGTTTTGGTAATCCCGCACCTCCTCCTAACTTCCAAACTACGAATTCTCTGCATTATATTCACACCACACATTGCCCTCAGACATGACATCTCCACTGCCTCCAGCCTTCTCCTCGCTGCAACATTCATCACCCACGCTTCACACCCATATAAGAGCGTTGGTAAAACTATACTCTCATACATTCCCCTCTTTGCCTCCAAGGACAAAGTTCTTTGTCTCCACAGACTCCTAAGTGCACCACTCACTCTTTTTCCCTCATCAATTCTATGATTCACCTCATCTTTCATAGACCCATCCGCTGACACGTCCACTCCCAAATATCTGAATACGTTCACCTCCTCCATACTCTCTCCCTCCAATCTGATATTCAATCTTTCATCACCTAATCTTTTTGTTATCCTCACAACCTTACTCTTTCCTGTATTCACCTTTAATTTTCTTCTTTTGCACACCCTACCAAATTCATCCACCAATCTCTGCAACTTCTCTTCAGAATCTCCCAAGAGCACAGTGTCATCAGCAAAGAGCAGCTGTGACAACTCCCACTTTGTGTGTGATTCTTTATCTTTTAACTCCACGCCTCTTGCCAAGACCCTCGCATTTACTTCTCTTACAACCCCATCTATAAATATATTAAACAACCACGGTGACATCACACATCCTTGTCTAAGGCCTACTTTTACTGGGAAAAAATTTCCCTCTTTCCTACATACTCTAACTTGAGCCTCACTATCCTCGTAAAAACTCTTCACTGCTTTCAGTAACCTACCTCCTACACCATACACTTGCAACATCTGCCACATTGCCCCCCTATCCACCCTGTCATACGCCTTTTCCAAATCCATAAAAGCCACAAAGACCTCTTTAGCCTTATCTAAATACTGTTCACTTATATGTTTCACTGTAAACACCTGGTCCACACACCCCCTACCTTTCCTAAAGCCTCCTTGTTCATCTGCTATCCTATTCTCCGTCTTACTCTTAATTCTTTCAATTATAACTCTACCATACACTTTACAGGTACACTCAACAGACTTATCCCCCTATAATTTTTGCACTCTCTTTTATCCCCTTTGCCTTTATACAAAGGAACTATGCATGCTCTCTGCCAATCCCTAGGTACCTTACCCTCTTCCATACATTTATTAAATAATTGCACCAACCACTCCAAAACTATATCCCCACCTGCTTTTAACATTTCTATCTTTATCCCATCAATCCCGGCTGCCTTACCCCCTTTCATTTTACCTACTGCCTCACGAACTTCCCCACACTCACAACTGGCTCTTCCTCACTCCTACAAGATGTTATTCCTCCTTGCCCTATACACGAAATCACAGCTTCCCTATCTTCATCAACATTTAACAATTCCTCAAAATATTCCTTCCATCTTCCCAATACCTCTAACTCTCCATTTAATAACTCTCCTCTCCTATTTTTAACTGACAAATCCATTTGTTCTCTAGGCTTTCTTAACTTGTTAATCTCACTCCAAAACTTTTCTTATTTTCAACAAAATTTGTTGATAACATCTCACCCACTCTCTCATTTGCTCTCTTTTTACATTGCTTCACCACTCTCCTTAACTTCTCTCTTTTTCTCCATATACTCTTCCCTCCTTGCATCACTTCTACTTTGTAAAAACTTCTCATATGCTAACTTTTTCTCCCTTACTACTCTCTTTACATCATCATTCCACCAGTCGCTCCTCTTCCCTCCTGCACCCACTTTCCTGTAACCACAAACTTCTGCTGAACACTCTAACACTACATTTTTAAACCTACCCCATACCTCTTCGACCCCATTGCCTATGCTCTCATTAGCCCATCTATCCTCCAATAGCTGTTTATATCTTACCCTAACTGCCTCCTCTTTTAGTTTATAAACCTTCACCTCTCTCTTCCCTGATGCTTCTATTCTCCTTGTATCCCATCTACCTTTTACTCTCAGTGTAGCTACAACTAGAAAGTGATCTGATATATCTGTGGCCCCTCTATAAACATGTACATCCTGAAGTCTACTCAACAGTCTTTTATCTACCAATACATAATCCAACAAACTACTGTCATTTCGCCCTACATCATATCGTGTATACTTATTTATCCTCTTTTTCTTAAAATATGTATTACCTATAACTAAACCCCTTTCTATACAAAGTTCAATCAAAGGGCTCCCATTATCATTTACACCTGGCACCCCAAACTTACCTACCACACCCTCTCTAAAAGTTTCTCCTACTTTAGCAGATGTATAGTGTGCTAACAATTGTCAGTATCCCTGTAGGATACCTTGAACAAATTTTTTTTAACTCAAGCCATGTTTACTTCAAATCCTTTTCTTTTACAGCTTGTCTGCTCACCATAACTGATGCCCTCCGCTATTACCGCTACAATAAAACTCATGCGAGTGACAGAAGAACTGCATGTGTGTATTGTCAGCATTGTCCCAAAACTTGCCTGAACATCGCAGCTGCTACATGCACTCTCTTGAAGGCCTCTTTGAAAGCAGTTTACTTGACTAATTAAAATTTTGATGTGGAACATTATTAACTGTTGCAGTGAATGCTTATCAGAAGCACTATACTGCAGATACAGTGATATTTAGTAAACTGATGTTCACCTTGTCAAAAGAAATATACACCTTAAGTAAAATAATGTAAAAAAGTTATGTTAAATACTGTTCTAGCATTGCTGTTTATAAGTACTGTGAGTTAAATGTTTAACTCAATATTGAATGTTTTTTGTATCATGAACTTATTGTCTTAAAATATGCAGCATTATAAGAGATCCTTTTTTACTGATTGATTTAGTTAATTAGTTTTCATTGTATTATTTCCTGCATCAAAAAATATTTTCTTCACATTGTTTATTTCTTGTATCATCATCTTACTGCAGTCTGATAAATTGCTTATCATTCATCATATAGCTAGTGTCTGTAAATTATTGCTGCATTTTTACTATCAATATCCTGCATTGGTGTGGCAGCCACTTATTACTCTAGTTTTGAACGAGTTTTAAAGTTCACATAATCATAAAACGATATACATGTTTGACAGCAAAACATTGCTCTAGAGGAGAAGAGCGACATAAGTGTTCAGCAGTATAAAAGACTTTACCAAAAAAAGGGACCTTTGTAGGTTTAGTGCTTCTTTTTTATTATAATAATACTAAAAAGGACTGTTTTAATAATGCATATAAGAGTTATTGCTGGAAAGAAATCATTCCAGTGTTAAGAGCATATATAAGACTTCCTGATAAAACATTCAATCAGACTTTTTTGGAGTTAGTGCAGAAAAAGAATTTAAGATATGAGAGCCCGTAAAAAAGAAAGAGCCTTTCACTGTTCAGTATGTCTGAAAGACTTCTCTCAAAAATCTCATTTAGAAAAACATTCAAGAGTTCATACAGGAGAGAAACCATATCGTTGTCCAGTGTGTTTAAAAGATTTTTCTCAGAAATCTTACTTAGTTAAACATTCAAGAGTTCATACGGGAGAGAAACCATATCGTTGTCCAGAGTGTTTAAAAGCTTTTTCTCAAAAATCTCATCTAGTAAAACATTCCCGAGTTCATTCAGATGAGAAACCTTTTCAGTGCTCAGTGTGTCTCAAACTGTTTTCTCACAAATCTTATCTTAAAATTCATAATAGAATTCATACAGGAGAAAAACCCTATCAGTGTACAATATGTCCAAAAGATTTTTCTCAGAAGACACACCTAACGAAACATTCCAGAGTACATACACAAGAAAAGCCATATCATTGTACAGTGTGTCTAAAAGACTTTTCTCACAAGTCTTATCTAGTAAAACATTCCAGAATTCATACTGGAGAGAAACCATATCAGTGTCCAGTGTGCCAGAAACATTTTTCCCAAAAATCTCATCTAGTAAAGCACTCGAAAATTCATAAAGAAGAAGAGAAGTCATATCGATGTTCCGTGTGCCTCGAAGATTTTTCAGACAATTCAGCTCTGTATATGCATACTAAAGTTCATGCAGAAGAGACTGAAATGGGAGACTGGAAAAGCAGTTGAGTGATTATGTAGGTAAGCAGTCATCTCGGTGATTAGTGTTGAAACTAAAAAATATCCACTTAATATACAAGCCATTTCTTAGTTCATACTGAAGAGAAACCATGTTAGTGTAGCATTTAAAAATTAATGAATAATGTTCTCATAAATTATTTTACTATTTATATGATAATGAAACCTATGTGTTCAGAGGACTGTACATGTATATATAGATCATATCCTAATAACAGGGAATAATCATTCAGTAGAGAAACAATGCAGTGTTCTGTGAAAGATATTTTACATGAAACTTAGCTAGTAACAACTGGGTGTTAATTTTTGAAAGAAACTGTGTCAATGTTTTTATGGGCAGTTCTTCATCAAATGATGAGGGGAAAAATTAGAGTGTACCCATTCTTGGGTCTGGACTTGCGCATCTCCTTCATTTGACTGGTTATTAGTTATACTGTTAGAGTTTGTATGTAGGCTTGTGGAAATGTTAATATTTTCCAGAAGCTGCTAGCTTAATGGAATCATTAACTTTTCATGGTCTACCCAGTAACAGTGGAGCTGCAATTATTGGATAAAATTATAACTGTTCATTTAGATATTAACTACACTAGTGTGAGCAAAGTTGATACCAGTTGCCACATGTTCCATATGAAACATAAACCTATCTTTAAAATTAAGTTATTTGACTAAAAATGCAAGAAGCAGTTTATAACACTGTTTATCTCGAGTAGCAAGACCATGAGAAAAAGTAAACAAAAACTGAAACAATTAACATGACTACATCATTATACAAGCAAGCCAACATTTTGTAAGCCTGGAACCAAGGCATTGGAAATTCCCAATGAGTCTGACACAAAAAACCACCTGAACCATTTAAGTGGAAAATTACACAAATATAAAAAATAAGTATTTTGGCAGAACCATCACATGAAATGCATTAGGTGGACAGACAAGTAAATGCAGAGCCAGACTAACATCATGCAAACATTGCCATGTACTTCGTATATTTTGCTCTATTAAAATTGTGGTTTCCAGTACTGGCCTAGTATTGACAGATTAGATTAAAATTATCTCTACAGCACTAAATTGTGATGTTAATAATATAACTATTGTGCATGATATGGAAAACTAGACAAATTTAATAGAGCATGTATTTACACCCCAAAAAAATTAAATCTGAAAGGCATATCTTTCAGAGCCTGTTAAATATAACTCAAAAATTTGTCCTGCATTTCCTACTTTAGGAACTATGCAAGTCAAGCTATATTCACACCTATGTTATTAGAAACAATATGATCTATTAATAAATTAAAGACATGTGCAACACTTGGGTATCTTGAGGAAACTTTTGCCATACAGAGGAGAATAACAGAGGGGTTCGAGGTAATCAGTCCCTCGGCCTTGAGTCGATGTAATCAGTCCAAGATTGAGGGATTGATTACCTCAAACTCCTTCTGTTCTTCACCATTCTCTGTATGGACTGATTAAGCCAGTGTGTGGCAAAACATTTTCTCATCAAGATACCCAAGTGTTGTACATGTGTTTAATTTATCAACTTGTCGGTTATCTGAATCATTTATCTACATAATATGACGTAGGGTCATTTAATGAAAACACCTTGTAAAGGGCAGTAAGTGTTGAGGTTGTATAATTTCCTCAGAGTCATCTTGGACATAGTACAAATCCAATGACTCCCAAATGAGTCACAAATATTGACAGAAATATTTGGCATAAATGCTAATACTTTTACATTATATATTTTTATGAGCACACAATTACAAAAAGTCATATTAAAGATTACTGTGACAAGGAAAGGAAAATTCAAATAGTTTATCAGAGTATAGCTTTTTCTGATGCAACTTTAACTAAATGGTCACATGGTAGGTTGGTCTATATATTAATGACTTTATCTGACCTTAACATCACTGACATTGTTTGTTGTTTGAGGGAATAAAGAGGTGATAGTGAGGGTGTTCCTTAGCCTAAAAGTGAATAACCTCCTACACAAACAATCAGTGATAAGGGTGAAAGTAAAGCTGCTGACAGTCACTGCATGTATTGATATAACAGACACAATGGTCCACTCAGTATCATGTTGTAGAAATGTTCAGACTTTTCTGGCAAATCAGCTAGTGTGACATTGCTTTCTGCTCAGCATTTCTACTCTCATAAGTGTGGGTGTGACACTTCCTGGTGACCTTGGTAACTACAGAGACGAGTGGAATCTAACACTTTCCATTAAAGAAGAATTTTGTGTAATCAATCAAGTTGGCTCTGGTACTCTTGTATGTTATATATTAGGAAGGTAAGCAAGTTTCTAGAAATTGCTGCGAACTGCTGAGTTTCATTGACATACTTGCCAGTAATCTAATAGTACGTTTAGTAGACATAAACAAACCCTTGTGATGATCTTGGGAGTATTCCCTGGAGTTAGGACTAGTGATAATTCTAGTAAAACAGACATTTCTTCTCTAGTTTTTTGTTTCATCATAATGTATATTACTGTGTGAGAGAGATTATCAAATACTAGGAGTGACTAAAGTTTGATGTTGAAGCTATATAAGAGTTACAAAGATAGACTGATACTTGAGACAGTTAAGTTTGTCCTCTTAGTAACTGTATTGTTGATAGGATACAAATATGTAATATGAAACTACTGATCCGCTGACTTTGTTTTTATAAATGTCTGGTGAAAGCCTATGGTCCTATTTATGTTTTAGTCTTTTCCATTTTTTTACATGAACTTTATAGAGTAAATGTGAGACTGCACAAGGGTAACCAACTGAAATACAACTTATCTTAAGTTTATTCATTGGTGATTAAATGAAGTCCCATATACTAACAGGGATGCTCTTTGAAACATAACATTGGTAAGGCATTGGTTTGGTGTAAAGCTCTCTTGTATAGCTATGAAAATGAGTACAGTAAACTAAGGTTCACAAGGGTCATGCTGCATCAAAACTCGACCAACAACAAAAAAATGCAAATAGCAAGATGTGTGATGTCTGGGGTGGTTAGTGGTTCAGGATTACAGAAGATTCCTCTGTGTTAGAAAATTTTTGAGGCAACATATATATGTTTAGTTGGAGGAATAGCCAAAAACTTCTTCATTGAATTTTAAGGTTAACCACAGCAAAGTAAGGAAGTGACCAAGAGAGGAGACAGGTGACTGGGCAAGAACAGAACCTAGAGGACAGGCGAGTGAGATTGGAGGTAGTGATAGAAGTTGTCTAGATGGTGGCAGTAGTGATGGAAGTTGTGTAGATGATGAGGGCAGAAATAGTAAGCTAGAGTTTGTCTTCCATTTTTAATATTAAACAATATTGAATACATCAGCAGTGTACAGCCATCCTACTTTAATAGACAAGTTCATGGTGGGAGCAAAATCTTCCTCGAGTTTCTGTTATTTGGTAATAGCCATCTCTCAGGATAGCCTGTGCTACACACAAGAGATAAGGCATTTATGAAGATACAGTCATCACACTCTGAAGGAAAGAGTGTTAATTGTCGAGTTAAAAACTGTAGTACTAAAGAAAAAAACCCTTCTTGGAAGGACCAGGATTGGGGTTTATGGATGCTGAAAGTGCTTTACAGATTTCAGGGACCTGCTTGTGGGAATACTCGGTGCAATATTGATAATAAAAAATAATAATTTTAATCATCACGAGTGGACAAAACACTTGGAATCAGTGTGTACACCATTTTAAAGGTTGTGAAGTGTTATCCATTTCAGTAACCCAAAGAAAAAAAAACTTACTTGAAAACTTTAGCAAACCCAGGTTGCTTGGGTGGATGCTAAAGAGTGCTAAAAGAATTTAGGTGAAGATCCTAAGTTTGGCAGAATTGTCTAGTGTGCAATATTGCACACTAGAGTAATGAATAAGAAAGATTTTAATGATGTATTTGATGCATTAAAAGTCAGAATATTGAAAGTCTGGTTTCCCTTTGGCAATTTGGCCCATGTGATACCAACATGCATTTTCATTAAATACATACATTATAAGAAAGATTAGAGATTTATTTGCAGGCATGATTACAAAGGCTACAAGAGATGGTGACATTTAGTGTGCATGCAGAAAGTACCATAGTATAGAGAGCATTTTGGGCAAACCTAAGATTGTCTGAAGCCTAAAGGCTTAAGACTAATTGATTGCTTATACTATATACAGCCTCGAGCGATTTTAACAATAAACACGTTTATTGTGTTTAATTGTTTTTAAGGATTAAAGATTGGCTTATGATTACAGGTAATGAGATTTCTAGCATAACATACTTTGAAGACATTCACTATGTTAATGGTTGTGAGGATTATAGATTATGAGAAGAATACAGCCTCTCCTCACTTAACGACAGAGTTCTGTTCCTAAGACCATGTCGGTAAACAAATTCATCGCTAAGTGAGGGGTATACTATAATGGTAGTGGGTTTGTGTCAACCATCGTTGATAATGTTGTAATTTTGCCTTTGAACCATTTATAACATTTCTGGTATATTTTTAAATGTTTATACAGCAATGTACTGTACTATATTGTAATAAACAGAATAGAGGAAATCAGCTCTAATATACATTATTTAGGTATGCACACTGGTCAGAGAGCCTGTCGTAAGTCTGAGCAGTCAGAAAACGAGTACATCGCTAAGTGAGGAGAGGCTGTATATTGTTTTCCATATCACTTGCATTTGTGGTCACAGTGGTGCCTATGCTAACCTTCCTATGGTGTAGAAACATACCTAGTTGGATGAATCTTATTGTGGCTAGCTGGCCCAGTGGCTAATGCGACGGTCTGAAGTTTTGAGACTCTCTGATTGTGGGTTCTATCCCTGCCCGTGGTATGGTTTATTTTCCATATACTTGGGGCAGTGAGAATATGAAATTGTAATTTTATTATATTTAGCTGTTGTTGGGATATGTTAGTGAAAGATGTATTTTTATGGTAGTTTTGAAGATGCTGGCAGAGAGCGTGGCTCTGGAGATTTCTGGCAGGGAGTTCCAGATTTTGGGTCCTTTTATGAACATTAAGTTTTTACAAAGATTAAGCCGGACACAGGGTACATAAACGTTGGTAATTATATTCACACAAATGAAGTCACTGATGTGAAGTCAAAAGGATTTCATCACAAGATTAATAAATAAACTTGCCAGCATGAAGTGCATTGCCCCCCCCCCCCCCACCCACCCACACACGCACACGCCCTCTCACACATTTTACTAGGTGAGTACATTCACTCGTACACACACACACACACACACACTCACTTTTTCTCTCAGGAACAACTGTTTATAATAACATATGCATAAATCAGTAAACTATATAGGAATGAAGTAAAACCTCAGTTTAATGGACCTTGATTCAACAGATTTTATATTTTAAGAGACACCATCTGGACAGTGGAAAAAGACCTGAAACAACGACCAAAGTCCGTTGATTCCCAGATACAGTTGTCCCTCAATAATCGTCCGGCCTGAAAGTCGTCTATTTCGGAAATAGTCCTGTTATTTCGTCTAAATATTGGCTCGCAAATGGTCCGGTAACTCGCTAATAGTCCTTCGTCTGGGATGCGTACTCACGCTTTGAGCCGCCTGGGCCTTCCCTTCCCAGCCAGTGTGCCACTGTTTACCAGTGAGCGATGGTCCCCTCATGTGCTCCAGCGAAATATTTCATAATATTCCATTTATTTTAGTGCTTGCAAGTGCTAAATAAGCTACCATGGCTCCAAAGAAAGCTCCTAGTGCCAAGCCTTTGGTAAAGAAGGTGAGAAATACAATTGAATTTAAGAAAAACGTCATTGAACAATATGATAGTGGCGTACGTGTGGGCGAACTGGCCAGGATGTATAACAAATCCCATACAACCATATCTTCCATCATAGCCAAGAAAAAGGAAATCAAGGACGCTGTTGTTGCAAAGGGGGTAAATATGCTGACAAAAATGAGATCACCAGTACTCGAAGATGTTGAGAAGTTATTATTGGTGTGGATAAACGAGGAACAATTAGCAGGAGATAGTCTTATGACGTCGCTTATTTGTGAAAAGGCTAGGCAGTTGCATGACGATTTGGTAAAGAAATTGCCTGGAACTAGTGGTGATGAGTGAATTTAAGGCCAGCAAAGGCTGGTTTGAGAGATTTAAGAAGCATACTGACATACACAGTGTGGTAAGGCATGGTGAGGCTGCCAGTTCGGACCACAAGGCGGCTGAAAAATATGTGCATGAATTCAAGGAGTACATAAACAGTGAAGGACTGAAATCTGAACAAGTGTTCAGTTGTGACGAAACAGGCCTGTTTTGGAAGAAAATGCCAAAGAGGACCTACATTACTCAGGAAGAAAAGGCGCTGCCAGGACACAAGCCTATGAAAGACAGGCTGACGCTAATGTTCTGTGGTAATGCTAGTGGGGATTTCAAAGTGAAGCCTTTACTAGTGTACCATTCTGAAAATCCCAGAGTGTTCAGGAAAAACAATGTTATGAAGAGTAAATTGTGTGTGTTTTGGAGATCTAATAGTAAGGCATGGGTCACGAGGGAAATTTTTGTAGAGTGGTTCAATGAAGTGTTTGGCCCTAGTGTGAAGGAGTATCTCCTGGAAAATAAATTGGATCTTAAGTGCCTCCTAGTAATGGACAATGCACCTGCTCATCCTCCAAACTTAAGTTCATCACAGTAAAGTTCTTGCCCCTGAATACCACACCTCTCCTCCAGCCCATGGACCAGCAAGTCATTTCAAACTTTAAAAAACTCTACACCAAAGCAATGTTTGAAAGGTGCTTGAATGTGACCTCAGACACTCACTTGACCCTACGAGATTTTTGGAAAGAACACTTCAGTATTCTCCATTGCATAAGCCTTATAGGTAAGGCTTGGGAGGGAGTGACTACCAGGACTTTGAACTCTGCTTGGAGAAAATTGTGGCCAGATTGTGTCCACAAGAGGGATTTTGAAGGGTTTGAGGCAGCCCATGATGAGCCTATGTCAGTTGTGAACTCTTTTGTCGCACTGGGGAGTTCCATGGGGTTGGATGTGAGTTTGGAGGATGTGAAAGAGTTGGTGGAGGACCACAACGAAGAGCTAACCACTGAGGAGCTGCAAGAGCTTCAGCAGGAAGAGCAACAGATCGCAGCTCAGAATCTTGCTGCAGAATGTGAATGTAGATCTGCTTGGACCGTTTACGGGTTAAAGAGATGCCAGAAACAGAGCTCTCTGGACAGTTTTTTTGCGAGACAGGACTCCAGTGACTCTCAAGGTGGTCCTAGTGGCATTAAGAAACAGAGAAGAGAAGTAACCCCAGAAAAGCAATTGGTACCAGAGGTGTTGATGGAAGGGGATTCCCCTTCCAAACAGTAAATAATCCAATCTGTTTCCTTCTCCAGTCTTCCATACACAAAGAAGAATCGCCAATTAAGGTAAGTGTTTTTCTGTTAATGTTTAATTTCTTATGGGGAAAATTGATTCGTAAATCATCCATTTCGATAATAGTCCCACTTCCAGGAACGGATTATGAACGATAATTGAGGGACCACTGTAGTTCATTATTGTTATGATATGCTGGATGCAATTGACAGAAGTCCATTGTGTCCTGAATTGTCTGCTATTGTTATGAACCTGGATAAAGTGCCTTTGGATGCAATGGATCAAGTTTTTACAGAATTGTTATTGCCTTGATCATGGCAAAAGATGCTTATTATTCAAATCTGATGGATATTTGGCATTACCAGATACATTTTTTCCCTATTAATCTGTTAAATCAAGATTTAACTGTATTTTTTGTCTGTGCTTTAGCATTACTATGCAGTATACCTAACACAGCAGGTACATGTGCTGGAGGAATATTATTATTATTATTATAATAAAAAAGGAGCGCTAAGCCACAAGGGCTATACAGCGCTGCAGGGTAGGGAAGGAAGCGAGGGTATTGGGCGGCAGAAGGGGGGAGGGATGATCAGTAGGTTACAGAAAGCAGCGGGGCAGGGGATAGTGCGGGGGTAGAGGGTAGCAAGAGATTGAGGTAGAAAGGGTTGAAGGCATCAGAGTTTGTGAAGTAAGTCAGTTGTTGTCAAAAAGTCAATGAGAGAGTCCAGATCAAAGGTGGGTCCATCAGCGAGAAGGGAAGGTAAAGAGAGAGCAGCGGAGTGAAGACAACGATGGAGGTAAATTCTGCATGCTCGTTGATAAAGTGGGCAGTCCAACAGAATGTGGCTGACTGATAATGGAGCCTGACAATTCTCACAGAGAGGAGCAGGGCGCCTCTCCATGAGATATCCATGAGTAAGAAGAGTATGGCCAATGTGAAGATGGGAGAGAGTAGTCTCCCAACCTTGACACTGGTGACAAGAAGACGGCCAGTAACCTATACTCGGTTTAATAGATTGAAGTTTGTTACCGAGCATAGTAGACCAACGTTGTTGCCAACGGGTGTGAAGGTGGGTAGCTATTGCAGCAAAATAGTCCGTAAATGGAATACCTCTATATGAAACTG